GACCTGGAGCTTAATCCCATGAACTTTAAGATCATGACCTGAGCTGAGATCAAGAGCCAGATGCTCAACTGACGGAGTCACCTGAGTCCCTCAGTCTCTTCATTTTGAAGTTGAGAGACTATTCTCTAGGCTTTCTGGGGTGTCTTTAGGTCCTGAGACTCTGGAAATGTTTCAGGGGTGCTGCATAGGGCTATACAGGTTGTGCACTGTACAACTCCAGGTAAATGCCACTCACAGACTGCAGTGTAAGTTGTATACTGCAGTGGTTCTAGATTCTATAAAGGTAGGGAGGAAGGAAGGAAGGACATGAGAAAGGGTGAAGAGGGGCGGTCCAAGCGGAGAGAAGGAATCAATGGCCTGTGACAACAGTTTTCTCCAATCAAGGCCTAGACAGTATTTGCACTGCACACAGGTAGATCTGGTCCTGTGGAGGAGGATCTGTGGGGTTCGCCACTAATCACACTCACTGATCGTGACCATTTTGACTGGCTCTGATGTAGAGGAATGGAGTTGGCCAACTAGGCCAAGATTCCCTTTGATGTGTCTGAGATGTGGGGTCATTGACTTTTGGAGGCAGCTGCCTATGGGGAGTCCTCCTTGGACTGAGTCCTATAAGCCCATGACCCTCAGCCACACTTCCTTCAGGGTTTATACGTTTGGTTTGCACTTGTTGATATCTGTTGTCTCAAGAAAAATAAATGTGTCCCCCCCCCGCCCCGCCGCTCAAACAGGGGCTCCTGAGGGCAGGGCTATTTCTCTCCCCTCAGACTGGGGCTCCCTGAGGGCAGGACTGTGTCTCCCCGCTCAGACTGGGGCTCCCTGAGGGCAGGACTGTGTCTCCCCCCTCAGACTGGGGCTCCCTGAGGGCAGGATTGTGTCTCCCCCCTCAGACTGGGGCTCCCTAAGGGCAGGGCTGTGTCTCCCCCTCAGACTGGGGCTCCCTGAGGGCAGGGCTGTGTCTCCCCCCTCATTCTGGGCTCCCTGAGGACAGGGTTGTCTCCCCTCAGACTGGAGCCTCCTGAGGGCAGGGCTCTTTCTCCCCCTCAGACCCTGGGGTCCCTGAGGGCTATGTCTCCTCCCTCAGACTGAGTGATTTCTGACATCAGAAGCTGTGTCTCATTCTTCATTTATGTACTGTTCACTGAGGCCCTATTTAGTGCCAGGCACTATTTAGGAACTCAGGATGTTATGCTGATAAACAACAAACAATGTTAAACAATGATAAATGCTAAGTAGCAAAAAAGAGGAGGGTCTCTGATGTTGTAGGGCAGAGTTGTATGGCTACTTCAGCTGTGGTGGTTTGGGGAGGCCTGAGTAGAGGATTCTGATCTGAGATCAAGTAATAAGGAGCCAGCCATAGGAAGGTCCAGGTGAAAAGCATTCCAGGCAGCATTGAGTGTAAGTGCAAAGGCCCTGAGGTAGGAAAGAGGAACAGAAATGTCAGTGTGTGTGGACTTAGTGGCACAGAGAGGGGGACAAAGAGGTTGGGATGGGCACTATGGAGATGTCACCATGCTTTGTGGACCACAGTGTGGAATGGAAGCTGGCAAGGAGGTGGCTGACCTCCATCCCTTGGGGTCCCTGAGCTTTCCGTGGCTTCTCTGTGATACTCTAACTGGGCTTGAACGTCTGCATGTGAGAACTCTGTGGCCTGTTTCACCCTCCCCTGCTGCTCCCGGCAATAACGGAGGAAGTATCTAACCAGTGTGCTTTCCTACCTGCCGCCCCGGGGAGCAGCCCCCTTGGACAAGCCTTGTTGTTTACAGACCTGGTCCTGGAGTTCAGCCCTCATTTCCTGCTCCGTAGCAGGAAAATGTCAATGACGCCAGAGAGGGAAGACCTCCTGACTCACGTTTGGATTTACAGACCCCATGCCGGAGAAGCGTGCGGCTGGACAGTCCCAGGAAGGCCCTCACCACCAGTCTGACTCCCTGAGCTGAAAGTAATCACTCGAAGTCCCCAGCTGCTGTCCTGCCCTTTCTCCATCTCCACAGCACAGGTCCGTAAATGCCTGGCCTTGTCATGTTCACCCCCTACGCCCCGCCACCACCCCTCGAATGGGCCATTAAGGGGCCTGCTAGGAAGTCACTGACCTACTGTTGAAATCTGGCAAGTTATTTAACCTCTCAGGCCCTCAATTATCCCCACCTGGAGATAATCGCATGTACTTTGAAGGGGTAAAGTTAGATAATAAACACTTAGGAGGGGGCTCCATGCATCGTAATGGTGACAACAATTATACCTGCTATGTACCAGGCACTGTTCTTCATTCTGACCAGTGGCATCACATTTCATCTCCAGAGCCCCATGAAGAAGGCACATTATAATCCCCATTTCTCAAATGAGGCCCCTGAGGAACAGGAAAGCCACCCACCTCTCCATGAAGGCTATCAAATGTGGGGGGGGGGGTCAGCCAGGGGTGGCACTGTCTCCCTAGGGGACATCCTGGGCCATGGGCGGGGTGGACAGGAGGGATTCCTAGGACATGTGCTCCAGGAGCAATGTGTGCAACAGTCCCACACAGGAAGAACCGGCCAGCCCCAGGGCCAAGAGAACCCTGTTTGGGGAAACACTGATGCCAGAACAAGTCATTAACAGGGACCCGATGCCACATCAAGTCACTAGCCCATGCTCACTGGGTGCATCAGGGCAGGGCTACGACCAGAGCCGTGTCCCACCTTGACTACCAACACCTTCACCACAGGGAGCCCGTGCCAGAATTTGAACGGTTTGAACCGTCTTCGGGGTCAGGCCAGCTGGCAGCCCAGAGCGTGACCCTGTGATTCCCCACTTACCAGCCTACAGAATGACCCCCTCACCCAGCCACGGCTTTGATCATGGTGAGCTTTGATCGTTCTCTCATTTCCACTGCCCATGGCCACCTCCCACAAAGGGAAGGTGTTGATCATTACATTCCCGCCCTCCGGACCCTGTAATTAATACTTGCGATTAATCTGGCACATTTAGTCAAGTAACGCAGGCTCTAATTGGCTGCAGAGACGTTCTCCTTTTGATTGAGACAATCCTCCTTCTAGGGCCAGCCAGCTGTAGTTAACTCAGCAGGACATGTCAAAGGCTGCGTAGGATAATTTGCATGACATTTGGGGAGAGGAAGCTGAGCAAAGGGGTGGGGGTGGGAGCTGGACCCTTTGAGGTGAGTGGGCCATGGGGCAGAGATGAGGATGTGTTCCCATACATCTATTTAACCCTTGACTCACCCTGGATGCCAGACTGAGCACCAGGGGGTTTATTCTGGTTCCTGTTGCAAGTCAGCCCTACTTCTTCCTTTCCTTGTTGAGTTTGTGGGTATGGGGATAGACTGTCTCCTTGGTGACCTAGTAGGGGAGGGGGACACTCCCTCCTTTTCTGAGTTCCCTGATTGCATCAGTTAAAATTCTTTTGATTGTACAATTCTTTTGATAGAACACTTAGCTCAGTCTTAGGTAACATAATTGAATGAACGGATTGTTAAAAAGTTCAAAGAGGGTCTTCCCAGCTTCAGGCATGGTTTGTTCCAGGGGTTCCCATTGTCCTCAGGACTCTGAGCCCATTTCTTTCTGGATCTCCTGGCTCTGCTCTACTGGGTCAGTTTTCTTTTCTGAAAATGCTTCTGGCCCCCTCGCCACCATCATCCCAATAGCAGCTGTACTACCCTCTGGACATAGCTTCTTTCTGAGTTCTGCAAAAGAAGACAAAGTAGCTTTGGAGAAGCCCCTGCTTCTCACAGCCCGTTGACCCAAATTTGTTGTATGTTCCCCCCACCTCCCTCCTCCAATATCACGATGCTCCAGATGAGGGAATCAGTTTCCCCAGGCAGTATCATCATATTTGTCACATGGAACAGGAGTCAGCCAACTATGGCCTTTGAGCCAAAGGACATGTGTTTGTAGATAGTGCTCTTGGAATGCAGCCACACTCTTTCTTTTTCTTTTTTTCTTTTTTCGTTTTTTTTTTTTTTTTTTGCCTATTGTTTGTGTCAAAATGGCAGAGTGCTGTGGAAGAGAACTTCTGACTTGCAAAACATAAAATATTCGTTGTCTGGACCTTCAGAGAAAGAGTCTGCAGGCCCTTGACAGCATGTCAGAGCCAGGGGGGAATCCCCCTTATCTTCCTCCACACCTTTCCTTACACAGGCAAAAACTGATCTCAGGCGACTAGAGCCAGCTCCCAGACATAGGGTAGTGGCTTGCTGCCAGGCCTGGGCTTAGAACTCTCTGGTTCTTGAGGTGCCTGGGTGTCTCCATCCTTTAAGCTTCTGACTCTTTTTTTTTTTTTTTAATTTATTTTGAGAGAGACAGAGTGAGAGCACCAGCAGGGGAGGGGCAGAGAGAGAGAGAGAGAGAGAGGAGACAGAGGACTCAGAGTAGGCTCTGTGCTGACAGCAGAGAGCCCCACTCAGGGATTGAACTCACAAATCATGAGATTATGACCTGAACTGTAGTCGATGCTTAACCAACTGAACCACCCAGGTGCCCCTACGCATCTGACTCTTGATTTTGGCTCAAGGCATGATCTCCAGGTTTGTGGGATCAAGCCTGGAGGAGCCTGCTTGAGATTCTCTCTGTCCCTCTCTCTCTCTCTGCTCCTCCCCTGCTCACAGGCTCATACTTGCACTCTCTCAAAAAATAAGTAAACTTAGGGGGGAAAAGAAGTCTCTGGTTCTTACACGAGCCAATGTCTTAGCTGCAAGGTCATCCAGGATAATTGAAGACCGAGATTGAGGTAGGGAAGTGGTCAAGGATGGACCGGAGAGGAGAATGGGGCTGGATGAAGGAGGCACCAAGGGCGGCTCTCACCTTCTTCATGAACTTTCGCAGAGGGAAGTGGGCCTTGAGCAGGACATGGCGGGTGGGGGGATGGTGGAGGGTGTGTGTGTCCAGGCTCTGCCTTTGACCTTCAGAAACTGACTCCCCAGGGGAGAGACAGTCTCTGCTTAGCCCCGGCCCCCAGCCCCTGCCCTCTTAGCCTCCCCCGTTGCAGCCCAGGAAAAGAGATTAGAGTTGGCGTCTCTATGACTTTACTTCAGAAGCATGTGTGAATGAGTCCAAGGGCTACATCTTGCTGCAGTTCCTATACCCGGATGCAGGATGCCTGCAACTCAAATCCACAGGCCGAGCAGGATTCCTGAGACATAACACATGTGTGGAGTGCCCACCTGGGCCAGGCGCCGTATGCATTCGGTGACTCCACACTACCACCCTATGAGGCAGGTTATGGCCAAGAGTCCCAGTCCGCAGCTGAGAAAAACAAAAACTGGACAGGTATCTGTCCCAGGTCACATGGCCTGTGTCAGTTGGGTCCTCTGGGAAGCAGACACCAAGATCTCTTGAGGTTTGTTAGAAGTAATGCCTGTGAGAAATATAAAAGGGAGAGGGAGTGGAACTGGGCAGAAAGAACCTTCAGGCTGGAAAGCCACCAGGCACCATGAAAGGGTCTCAGGCAGCCCAGTGCAGAGCTCTGCACAGACTGCCTGCCAGAGGACTGTGGCTCTGGGCAGAAGTGGCCGGCCCCCCTCCCCTGCCATGGTCACTGGCTGGGGCTGACTGGGAGGAACTGGCCCAGGCCCCAGAGCTGACCTGGACCCTGAAGGTGCTGTAGCCAGAGGCTGTCTGCTAACTGCCCTCCTTGCCACTGAGCCGCAAATTCCTTCCCAAAGGGGAATCAGAGAGGCATGCCCCTGTGGCTACCTCACAGCTAGAAAATAACCCAGGATGCAAACTCCAGCAGTCTGGGGCCACATGCTCATATGCTTAACCCCTCTGCTCTACCTCTTGGTAGACAGGATGGAGGAGTATAAGAAGCACTAAACTGGAGCTCAACCTTGGTGTTCTGGCTCTGCCATGACCAACTATGTGTCCTTGGGCAAGTCATTCATTCATTTATTCATTCTAATACTTCCTGAGCATTTGTGAGTGTTGAGTCCTGTGCTAAACCCCAGTTCAAATGCAGGCTATGGCTTCACAGAGCTCTCTGTGTGGGAATGGAGGACCACAGTAGCTCACAGCAATGCTGGACAATATAATAAGGCAGGGATGCTCACAAGAGTACAGAGATATGGATGCTATTATGAGCCTCAACTTCATCTGAGAAAGGGAGCAGATGGTCTCCAGGATCTCTAAGATTCCTATCCACTCTATAAAACCAGTGTTGCGTCAAACTTGGGGAATCACAGGGTCTGCTCCAGCAGATCAGAAGGCTGAGACTAGGGTGTGGGCCCAGCCAGGGAATCAGCTTGGGCCTATATAAGCTGGGACACGCACAGCTGTCCATTCTGCTTCCCAGAAGTGGCCTGTTCTATCTCCAAGATGAGTAGTGAATCACTGACCTTGGGGCAGGCTCATGGCCTTGGGGGCCTAGATTCAGTGTCTTTGGTATTCGAGACCACAGGACAGGTCTTCCATCTTTGCTTTCATCCAGACACCACTGGTCCAGGCTGAGAGCCAGGCCAGTTGGGCAGGAACTATTAGTTAAATAATAGACATTCATCAGCTGATGGATGAGTCCTAGGGAAATCACCAAACTCACTTAAAAAGGCAACCACCCAGAATTTTCTGAGTCCTTTTCTTCACCCAGCCGTGCCTCGACACATGACCTTGATGAGGTCCCTTATCTTGCCGCAAATTATTGCCAGGAAAATCTATGGCCAATTAAACAAGCAAATGTTCTTCTTGTACCTTTTCACTTCTGCTCTCTTAAATAAGCTCTAGCTGGAGCCGTGGGAGAAGATGCTGGACTCTGCTGGCTTCTCTTCATTTGGCTTCAGACTAAACATTTCCCCCCATGGCACAGGCTCCAAGACTTGGTTATTAAAACAACAAAAGCCAAATGTTCCCAAGATAAACTCCTGATGATGTGATAATAGCAATTACCCTGGAGAATTCCAACTGGTGCGTATCACCAGGGGAAATGTCATCAGCAAGCAAGAATCCTCTCTAAAACAATCCAACAGGTAATTTGCTGGTTTTTATGGCTCAGATGTAAAACATGAATATGACCGGAAAAGCATTGACATTGGAAAGTCCTTTTCCTCACCATAGCCAGGGAAAGAGCCAGAAACATTCAGTGTCCCTGGTCTGTAGTCTTTCTCAATCCTACTCCAGCCATTTTGGGCCAATGGGTTTTTTTTCCTTTGTTTTTTGTTTTTAATTTTTTTTAAATGTTTATTTCTTTTTGAAAGAGAGGAGAGAGAGAAAGAGAGAGAGAGAGGAGGGGGGTAGGGGCGGAGAGAGAGGGAGACACAGAATCTGAAGCAGGTTCCAGGCTCTGAGCTGTCAGCACAGAGCCTGATGCAGGGCTCGAACCCACGAACTGTGAGATCGTGACCTGAGCTGAAGTCAGATGCTTAATCAACTGAGACACTCAGGCCCCCATTTTGGGCCAATGTTAAGGAATATGCCAATAATGGGTGGTTGAGGGTGAGGGTAGGCCAGAATGTTTTCCCTAAAATTAGCCAGGCCCCACCCACCTACCCTCTCCCCAACATTGCAAATAGTCCGGGCTTGCAGCCCTGCCTGCGGCCCACTCCTCACTGCACCCCTATCTCAAGAGTGATTGTCTGTTTCTCTATTTCTCTTTTAGTTTCTGACTATTTAGTCTCCCTGTTCTTTTTTCTATTCCACTGTCTCCTCTCCTTTCTCTGTTCTCTTTCCTGAAGTTGGTCATCTGTAATTCTGCTCTTCACCCTGTGTCCTGCTGTTAGATTAGGCAGTTACTTAGGCTTTACCGGGATTCCTGGAAACAGCAAAGGGGGACTCAAGCCCCTTTATCAGGAAAGTTAGCAACTTTCCCTGGCCGCATTCCACAAAGGTACAAGGAGCCAGATCTGAGCAGACAGGCCCCAGACAAAAAGGTGGAGACCCTGACCATGGAAGGGAGAAAAACATGAAACCCTGATCCCAAAGACAGCCCCTACCCAAATAATATACATTCCACCCCTTAGCTAAAACTGTCAAAGATAGAGACCCAAACCCTGGGCACAGTTCTCCCTTGAGCTCACCTGCTTTCACATCTCAAGAGAGGACTTTCTTTCTCTGTTTGTTTTTTTTTTAAATAATTTATTGTCAAGGTAGCTAACATACAGTGTATACAATGTGCTCTTGGCTTCGAGAGTAGATTCCTATGATTCATCTCTTACATCCAACATCCAATGCTCATCCCAACAAGTGCCCTCCTCAATGCCCATCACCATTTTTCCCTCTCCCTCCAACATCACACCCCCATCAACCCTCAGTTTGTCCTCTGTATTTAAGAGTGAGAGTACTCTCTCCTTTAGCCATGCAACTGAAGAGTTGAGTCTTACAATTTCCATTTCTATTTATTTATTTATTAAGAGATACAAAGTTCCATTTATATTTATGTATTTATTAAGAGAGTACTCTTTAATCACCTCTTCACTTGCATGGCCCCACTGCTGCCCTGGTCCGTCCACCGGGCAGCACTGCTACTCAGGTCAGGACGTTCTTTCCAAGCCCAAGGCCAGTCTTGGGGTGTCTCCGTCACCTTTCCTCCATCCCCTCACTGTCATCACCCTGGTGATCACAGTCTGGTACTAGGGAACCGTCAGCCTCCCCAGCAGGCAGCACGAGAGCCGGCCAGAGCCCCTGCCCACTCACAGGGCTGCTCTATGTAAATCAGGAAGAAGTGCCCCCTCTTGATCAAGACGTCTTGATCCATCTGCATCAAGACAGATACAGGGCACCTGGGTGGTTCAGTCGGTTAAGCGTCCAACTGCGGCTCAGGTCATGATCTCACAACTCCGTGAGTTCGAGCCCCACAATGGGCTCTGTGCTGACAGCTCAGAGCCTGGAGGCTGCTTCAGATTCTATGTCTCTCTCTCTCTCTGCCCCTCCTCCGCTCGCACTCTGCCTCTCTCTCTCACTCTCTCTCTCTCTCTCTCTCAAAAATAAAGACTTAAAAAAAAAAAAAGGTAGATGTGGCTTCCGTGGCAGGAAGCACATCCCAGGGGACTTCAGCCCCGAGCTTCCCCATGAACAGGCAACCCTGTATACACTGCATGGAAGACAGAGCTGCCAGGACATTACCCTCTGCAAGATGCCGCTCTGGGGATAGGAGCAGAGGCTACCTCTGTGGGCTAAGGCAGTTCTTTCCACTGCTGCAGAAGCAAAGCCCAAAGGCAGTTATCAACTATTAGGAGACTTAGACTTCAAGGAGAGCTTGCTGAACATGCACATTCCTGGCCCTGCCCGCAGGGAATTTGCTACAGCAGGTGTGGCCTGGGGCTCCTGAATCAGTCTCCACATGTGATTCTGGGTTGTTGTTTTGTTTTGTTTTTTAATGTTTACTTATTTTTGAAAGAGATAGAGCAAATGCCTGAGCACAAGTGGGGAAGGGGCAAAGAGAGGGGGACAGAGGATCATAAGCAGGCTCCGCACTGACAGCAGAGAGCCCCATGCTGGGCTCAAACTCAGGAACCATGAGATCATGACCTGAGCCAAAGTCATATGCTCAACAGACTGAGACACCCAGGTGCGCCTCCCCAGGTGATTCAGACGCAGACCACACTTCTAGAGTCCCTGGTTCCCCAGAGCAGCCTCTTAGAACCTTTTCAGGTTTGTGTCCCAAGAACGAACACGTTTTAGCTCTTGCTCACCAGAGAAGTAGATCAGTCTGCAGGTTTTATACATGTAATACTGAGAGCCAGGATATTAAGCAATAGAAACATTGTTAAAGAGAAAAATAACTATAAATGGAAATTGTAATAGGTTCTTCCTGCCCATGCCCCTCTCCCATTCTGCCTTTTAACTCTTGGGATTAAAGTGCTCCCCACTTTGGAGGCCAGGGCCACGGAGACAGGGAGAGATTTAGCCACTGAGAACATAAGTCACCATATCTGGGGCCCTTCTCACCTCTGCCTGAATTAGCAATGCTGATTCCCAGGCAGGAATCCAGTTCTAGATGATCAGGATGATTCCATTTCCTTTGGAGGGGGCACAGGCATTATGGCAGGTCACAGAGGGGCCCCTCCTGACTTTCAGGGTGCTCCGTGACCATGAACGCTCCATAGTTTCGCCTTTCACTGTAGAATGTTTGGACACTGCTCTCTGTTATGTTCGGCCTCAGCCAACCTGCTAAGAATTGGGCCTGTGCTGATTTGGTGGTATGTCGTATTTTGGGTGACAGACTTCCTCACCTGTAAAATGAGAGGGCTGGACTGAGAGATTGCCAAGGCACCTTCCAGCTCTGAGAAGTGTGGCCTCTAAACCCTGGAGGTGCCATTCATGAGTGAAGAGTCAGCGATGGTACTTGGAAAAGACCAGGAAAGTTCGTTAGCTGGTTAGTAAGGAGATAACCATCTTTCAGTTAGTTCTTGGGGGAGAAAAGGACACGAGAGAGTCAAGGTCGCCAAAGCAAGGGCAGTAGGACTGCTGGGCTGGGCACCATGAATGACGAGCAGTCACCGGGTCTGGGTTCTAGTACAGCCTTTGCCTGGAGCAAGTTTCCTTGAGCAAATACTTTTTTTTCTTAGCCCTAGTTTCATTTTCCAAAGACAGGATGGGCTTGAATGATGACCGTAGACCTCATCATGGATGTAGTGTAAAATTTTGCTTTTTCAAAATGAGAGTCATGAGATACATTTTAATTATTTTAAATATTTAATTTAATTTAACTATTTTAATTATTTGGTGAGGCGGGGCATGGCAGAATGGAAAGGTGTCTTGAAACTTTTGTTTCAGGTGTGTGTGTGTGTGTGTGTGTGTGTGTGTGTGTGTGTGTGTAAAAGAGAAAAAGAGAGAGAAACTGAAGGGACCCCGTGAAAAAAAGCCAAGGGTTTTTCCCTTGGCTCCTCTTCTGCTTCTATTTTTGCTAAGACCTGCACCCCCACCTTACACAGGCCTTAATGTATGTCCAACTTGTAAAGGTCAAAGAGTTAATGCTTCTTTGGGGTCTTCCAACACAATAGGTGACATCTAAGGAGTGTCTGAGTGAGATCCTCTTGAGTGTTTTCCCAGACCACTGACTCAGGGCGCCTGGATGGCTCAGTTAGCTAAGTATCTGCCTTCGGCTCAGGTCATACTCTCACTGTTTGTGGATTCGAGCTCCACGTCGAGCTGTGTGCTGACAGCTCAGAGCCTGGAGACTGCTTTGGATTCTGTGTCTTCCTTTTTCTCTGCCCCTCCCCTGCTCGTGCTCTGTCTCCCTCTGTCTCAAAAATAAATAAACATTAAAAATTAAAAAACAAAGACCACTGACTCAAGACAGCTTGATGTGCAGACCCCTAGCTCGAGGGTGTAAGTGGCTTATGGAGCACACCTGAGCACTCCTCCTCATTTTCACCACATCCTGGATGCCTGAGTGGCATCCTGGAGGACAAGAATACCAGACCACCATCCCCAGTAAAAATCCCAGGCCCCAAGCAAAGAGTGGACTCATCCTCCATTTTCTTTTTTTTTT